TAAATGAACATTAATTTCTATTTTCATCACTGTGACATGTCTGAGTGATGAAGTTTGTTTACAATTTTGCATGAAAATAAATGTGTTCATAAATTACAATATTTTCTCATTCACTTTGATTAGCACAATAGAGAGGGGCTGTTTTTTTTTTTTTTTACTCAACTCCAGTTCAATCACACGAGGAGTTCAAGTTATTTGAACCACAGATTCTAACAATTCAAATAGTTTTGACGACTGATGAGACTATGGCGGGAAATCCGATGTGATCAGAAGGTTGTTGGTTCTAATCCTCAGGTGTCTTTGCTCAGTGTGAATGACGAACACGAACATGTGTGTGTGTCGGTGTTTAACCCTGAAATGTAACTATACTTCACCTGACCTCTGCTGTGGAAACAAACGAGTTAATACAATCTTCTTTTTTTTTTTTTCCTGGAAATTAAATCCATCAATTAACTTTCGAAAAACATATTTTTTGGAAACAGATAGTTGATGGAACGCTGGCAGACCGATGGTGACATCTGTTATCACATTTATTGAATATTTAACACTAACACTGCTTCATTGTGACAGCGTGAGACACATTATGTCTGAGATTTAATTTGCATACCTTGCATACATGCGTTATATCTGGTGTAGATGTGGTGTGTGCGTGTGTCATATGCACGTTATCATTTTATCAAGCGTGCGTGCGTGTGTGCGTGTGTGTGTACATGGTTCAGTTCTGTGTAATGCACCTAGCCTGAGGGCGAGGGTTGCCAGGTTGTGTAAATAAATTAAAGCAACAAATTATGTTTAAAAGCCTCTCCCTCAGGCCAGGGAAAACTAAGATCCATTATTCATGGCTCTTACTGCCGGGAATCTAAAGGCAGGTGTGTGTGTGTGTGTGTGTGTGTGTGTGTGTGTGTGTATATTAGTATCAGTTTTTTGTCAATTATTCAAAGATTAACCGGCCTTACCCCATCACATTATCTTGTTGGTGAAATTGAATACCATTTACATTTTGATACCAGTAATGAAAACCACCACAACGACGGAGGATGATCTTCATCTTCCTGGCGCAGTAAATGGAGAGATTCTGGTCACAATCCAGCGAACGAAACCTTTAACCTTCAACATCGTATTTGAAGATTTTACTGGAGGTAGGTTACACGCTTTGCTGAAATGCTGAGCAAAAAACATGTATTTGAGATGTATAACTGTAGAGAAGCACTGCTACACAGGGGGGTTGCAGCACTCGTTTCCAGGTCAGATGACTTATAATTCTGCCAGCATGTCCTGGCCTGTACAGGATCTCTCCCAGCATGTAGTCAGCACAGGAACCTTCTTTACACATGACCACAACATCCTGTCTTTTCTTTTTTCCCTTCTCTATCATGAGAGCTGGATTAAATTGGAAACCAAATACTCATACATACAATACTCAAATACATATAAACTGCTTTAAAACAAATGCTTAAACACCTCAAGAAAATATTTATTTTCCACTACTGCTACAGCTGCAACTGTCTTCCACTTCGACGCTCACTAATTATAGCGGCATCAGTTATTTAATACAAAAACCACAGAGTAAAAATGACATTTTGTGATGACGAGACGTGAGCCTGGCCGAGAGATAGTCTGTAGCTAATGTGTGTGGGATGCATAAACGTCACTATCACGGATAACTATAGAGGCAAAATAAAAAATTTTGTCTTGTGTTATTTGTGCAAAATTTTATATAGATCAATACACCACACTTTTTTTGGGGGGGGGGATGTATAAGCAGGTTTTTTTAGTCACGGGTATAATAAGTGTCAAGTGAGCTCAAGTCAACAAATACCGTGACGACAACTGTTCTTTTTAGGGCTTGTTCTGCTTGCAATATGCACAACTATCTACATCAGACAGACCAACAGTAGATTTTCTTTCAAAAGGTTCCAAAAACAAAATTTGATGAATCTCATACAGATGCTGTTGTTGTTTCTGTTCCTTTGATTGTTTCCATTTTCTTCTTGTAGCATTTAGGACAATTTTGTTTTTGCTTTTATTCTAAGTTACTTTTATTGTTTTACATGTGGAGTTATTTTAATTATTTTCTATGTTTTGGCTTGGTTGGGTTTTTTTTCTGATTTATTGATATATTGTTTTATTTGTTGTTCTTGTGTGTGGACCACAGGAGGACTAGTGACCACTGTGTGGAACCTAATGGGGATCCAAATAAAGAAATTAATAAATAAATAAACACTTAGATGAGACTGGAATCAATAGTCTAATCTAACTCTGGATGTGGTGATAATAGTACATGACTTTCTCCCAAAATGTCAAACTATTCCTCTAAGTTACAGATTAGTTATCATTACAGTATATAAATGCAGTCTCACCCCCCATAGTGCATAGGGGATATTGATGCTATCGATATTAATGGTAGCTTATACAGAAACTACCCTGTCTTACCCTGTATGTGGGCTATACTACTTACTATAACAATTCCCATATAATTACCAACCAACCCTCATTACTCTGCTTCAATTTTACTACATAATTCTTACTAATTATACTCCTACAACTCTGCATTATTCTGACTTTACTTTACCTGTAAATTAAAGGGTTACCTTTTTTTAAATGCATTTTTTGTACAATCAAGTTTAATTAACAGTAGTGAGTCGTAAATTCTGTGCCAAACCATCGTCTGATTGCTGCCATCACCAGAGTGGAAGCGGCGTTTGTGTTCACAAATCAAAGGCCTCCTTTTCGTTAACATCTCAGTCTCCATCTCTTTTTTCCTCACATCTGAGGTGCTGTATATATTTTCTGACAAGGTCTTCACTCATGTTATCTGATCACTATGGCTGTATCAAGAAATACATGCTTTACAGGATTTGAGGTTAATGGCTTTTTTCACTTTTGCCTTTTATCGTATCAGGAGACATCTTCGGTGATATGAAAGATTGGCTGATGATTTCAATTAAAATATTTTGATAAGCAGGGTCTGAGCATATGAGGATGCATAATATGATGTAATTTACTAAATCAACTCCCAGTACAGTCAGATATTTTCTGCTACACTGATATGTTCAGTGTGGTTAAAATCCATTAGAGCGGTAATAAAGTTATGATTTCATTTTAATTTCATGTTAATTTAATTACGTCAGCAACACAGTCCCACAATACTGATGCAAGCAAGGCTCATTTTAATTAACATCTAATGTACCCTTTTTATAGTTTGTAAATTATACAAATGCATCTATTAAAGGCTGCAGACAACAATGAGGATAATCAGGAAGGAAGAGGCAGGAGCAGATATATTTGTCTAGAAAACAAGGATGAGACATAGTAGAGATGTTGTTCAGCGTTCAGTGGGATCAAGTGCTTATCTCAAACTTTTATGAGGGTCACCAAACCGTTCGCTGCTGTTATCACACAGTCATAAAAAGATGACAAAAACACTGCCATTTATGCAGCTTCAAAAAATGTTACATTACAACAGTAATACAATGTTACATCTGCTCAAGCACCAGCATCGGAAATTTACAAGAAGTAAACCATGGTTATGGTTACTCATTTAAATCACTCGCCTAAATGTGCAAGTGTAGGAGGAAAATGACTCTGAAATGTTGGTGTTAAAAATGTTCCCTCTGTTCTGCTGTGCCTGCGCTTGCATTAGTTATTCAGACAGAAGTGCTGGGTTGAGACACTTTCAGTATCAAGAATGAGGTTCCTTGTCTCAAGCCCTGAGGATAATTATTGACGTTAAGTGAAAACTCTGCTGATGTTTGGTGGAAGAGCAACAATCACGTGGTAGGCTGAGCTGAGTCAGGTTGTCTGTGTCACTTTCTTGTTCGATGCAGTGCTGTGGCTTCAGTAGTAGTATGCGGCTGGACTTGGAAAGATACACTCATGGGATTTGGTTTTGCACACAATAGACGTGATGTAACATATGCTACGTATGTTTCCATGCTAATCTTATACAGTAGAAGAAAGCGCATTTACTCCTTTTATGCTTAGATTTAAGACATTTAACTCCACTATTCAATACCTATATAATTACTTTTCAGATGAAGATTTTACACAAAACATACTGCACCTCCACCAGCTTCAACATTAGCATGCATCTTACGTGTTAATCAATAATCAATATCAGTAATAATGATCCAATAACAGTGTCAGGGGCCATTTTGCATGATTTTACTTTTGATACTCTAAGTATGTTTTGCTATATTCTACGTCTTTGAATTCAGGAGGTTTGTTTTTATGTAACTGATGCATTTTTATATGAAGTATCACACAGTCCCTGCGTGGACTCTCCATGTTCTCTCTCCATTTGTTTGGGGTGCTCCACAGTCCAAACACACCAAGGTTATGTGAAGTGGAAAATCTAAATTGTCCATTGTTGTGAAAGTGTTTGACTGTGGTGCTGACCCTGCAATTGACTGGCAACCAACCCGGTGTCTTTTTGCCTCAGTCTTTTCTTACATCCTTGCTCCATTTGAAGGAACAGCTGATACAGTCAGTGATCCAGGATGCTCCTGATCTAATCATTTGTATTTCTTATTCCTGGTTTTGCCCTGGTTGCATGTTGAATTGCTACGCTGATGTGAGGCTATATGAGGTGTTCATATATCTTGCTGGTGATCTTATGCTCAGGCTTGCCCACTGTTTTTCTTATTTACTCACCTTTTATTGCAGATGTTTTTTTACTGCAGGTATTCCAGTCTTATCTCAAATTGCAGTTTAGTGTTTTCTCTCTGTTGTCCACCATCATCTGCTTCTTATGTTCAATCTCAGTGTCGGAGTCACCCAGTGTGATACTGGAGGGGCCCACTACAGGGGAGGTGGTTCTTATCTGCTCCATATCTGCTTCCTCCTGCCATAACTCTTCATCCTCCTGTCTGGGAGGTTGTTGCTATTACGTCATAACTTGGCTGATGTCGACTCGGGGGCCTGTTAGTCATTGATCATCTCGGACCGATGATTAAACCAAAGCCAGACACTCCAGAAAATAACATGGAGAAAAACTGTAATGATGTTCCAACTGACCAAATAAGCAGTTTTTATTAATCAAATTCCAGTTAACAACCGACAAGCAGAAAGAAATATTGCTCTGATATACTGTATACTGTGATATACTCTAATTGCCCCCTGGGGACAAATAAAGTTTATTGAATCGAATTGAATTGAATTGAATTGAATGTACATCCTCCTCCTCTTTCTACCTCTCTATCTTCTCTCTTCCACCTCTGTCAGACCCACTCGTCTCTTCTCTCCTTCTCGTCCTCTCTCCAGCTCTTCCTACTTGTCTGTTTTTGTCCTCCCTCTACAACCTTCTCTTTTAGAGCTCCTCGGAGTGGAAAGCTGAATGACAGAGGAGAAAATTAGACATTCATCAGCCCCAGCAGTTCATCAATCACAGTTAGTGCAGGAATAAATATTAGGTGAGGAGGAATGATACACATGCGAACTACAGAGAAAACATGCTCTTGACATACATAAAACATCATGGCCGATATTACAAAACCTATAAAGCACTAAATATGATGCTGCCTGTGTAAAGGAAGGATGTTTTTCTTATTTTTCTGACTGCCTGCTGTTATGGCCTTGAACCGAAACTGCCTCCCCCACTTGATGCAATAACTCTGACTCACGTCCTTCTCCTAGTCTGTCTGCATGAGAGCTACGATAAACATAAGTGCCAAAGTTCAAGTTTTTAATTACAGTTAATTAACTGTATTCTTAATGGAAGAATGGTTTTGATAATTGAATAAAGAAGATAAGATGGGAAGTTTATCTTCTGCCTAATGTATTCCCATGATTTTGCGAGTTACAAGGGCATCATATTCATTATAACTCAGTTAGTCAGTGAGTGATTACTTTCCGACAGCTCCATCATTACTATTATCTGCACCGGCTGGGTTATCGCAATGAGCATCTGCAATTAAAACATCTGGTTTTGGCAAATACATGAGAGGAGTTTGAGACAGGATGTATAGTTTTCTTTTTAATACATTTACACTACATTTGCTGTTCCTCTAGATTCAGTTTCATTCATGATTTGGTACATGTAAATGTCATGTTCTGAACAAGATGTTTAGGTAGAGTAAGCATGGATGGATCATGAGACCGTTCAGCAATCCATCCAGGAGGTATAAGCATCTTATTCGAGATTTCACCTTCGACATTAGATGGTTGATTAGTGTGAGATGATGTTTTCTTACATGTCAGGGTTTCAGTTAGCTGGTGAATACCTTCCTCCTCATCATCAGGAGCTACCAAGCTGGCTGCAAACGTCCATAACATCCCCAACCAATCAGTGCTCTCCTGAGGGACTCCAACAGGGCTTGATTTAATTGGACGAACACCACCTGAATAGAGAAGAAGAAATAAGGAGTGGTGCAGTATGTGTATAATCATATACAGTATTTAGGCCTAACATGTTTTAACAAGAGTTGAATTGAACAAGTAAACATGGGGTGGACAAAATATCAGGAACCCTTACCTGCAAACTACAGTTTCAAAAACACACACAGTGTTAACAGAAACTCGACAAGCTTCTCAAAGGTAGCACGTATTAAATATTGTTAAACTGTATACTGTATATATGAAATGTATGTGTAGGTTTATTATTTGCTTCACCCTAATGCAGCTGTTAGAGCTCACACACGCACACGCACACACACACGCACACACATATACATTTAAAGTTAGTATGAAGGAGTGAGTGTGACTGTGAAATGTGTGACGGCTTAGACGTTTCTTCTTGCCTCTAGCCTTCAAACCCCTCTTAGCGATGGCAGCAGGAGGAGGGAGACCTGTCGGCGAGACACATGAACATTAACAGAGACAGCGTCATGTGAAGTGCAGGTTACAGTTTGCAGAGAGAGAAGGGAAAAAGGGAGAAAAAGGGAGGAAAAGGGAGATTGGGGAAACAAAGAGGGGGGAAATGACACATAACTGGATAAAAAAAAACCATAAAGCGATAAAGTCAAACAGAAGAACAATGATCAGTGGCTTTCATCTCACTGCATATTTTATAGTTTCAATCATTCTAATCCACATACAGCTTTAGATTCATTCCCTCACTACAATAATGCAACAAACATGATAAAAAGAAAAATCACACTTTTCATCGTACAGAACATGTTAGGACTTATCTCTCTGCGGTGCAGGGGACATGCTGAATGAAAACACGGCAAGACACAGCAACAACACAACCAGCTCTCCAGCAACATTTCAACATTCCCAGCACATTTTTTTTTTACTAATATTTCCACCTTTAATTCATCAGAAAGACCAATGGACTGTTTGGCCTCTGACCGTCAAGAAAACAGCTGCAGAACATCTGGAACAGATCAATTCTTTAACACATTATTAACATTTAAAATGTGTATATTAGTTAATAGATAATTATAGAGGACATTCAATGATGGATTGTCAACATTTGTAATTTAAATGAATGTCTCACTTTTGCTGTTGGCTTATTAGACAGTGAAAAAACCTGTGACACATATTGATCACTTATTAACAACTGCAAATTTGATGACTAATTAGAAAGTTACACTCATTGCCCTTTATTTATGATTTAATTAATTACTAGAGAATTAATGTCTCATCAGACATGGATATTTTAAACAAAAGTTGTTCATTTTAATGACTCCATAACTGACGTAAAACAGCTGATACATGATTCACTGAACAATAATGAAGCCATTAACTGTCACTTCTAAAGCCAACATACTGACGGATACATGAGTGTTATTGTGTGTATTGTGGGCTCACTTCTTTCAGGCAACTTTTTGACTTTGCACACTTATTACTGAACGCAGGTGTTGAACACGCTGCAGGAGACAGGTAAGGTCAGGGTTCACCGGCTAACAGATACATCGCTGGTAAATGAGGCATTTTAAAGCCTTGCAGCAAGACAATTAGAACAAAAATGATTATCATTATGTTCAGTCTTAGTGAGTCTTTTGTACTTTGACCCCTCTGCGCTAGCCACCGTGGAATCGTCCCCGTGACTGCACTCAGTGCCTCTGAAACACATTTTTTCTCATTTGCTTTGAAGTCTGGCTGTGTGTCACAGCTTCCTCAACAGTTCATTAAAAACTAACTGCTGCTGCATCTGTTTCATGTAGTATTGACTTACAGAAGTGTTTTGATTTTATATTTAGTTGATATGGAGTGCACACAAATGCCCAAATGTTCAGCTGCTCCTCTGTATCTGTAATAAGCCAGATAATACCTCTACTTTGGTGTAAGCTGCTCTGGCCGTGAAAGTAATGACTCTGTTCTCAGCGACATGTTCTGGCTCATGGCGTTTAAACAAACTATGATCATATAGCTGTCGCTGCAGTGCAGGTGTTTTGCATTTGTCTCTCTGAGGAACACGTGAATTAGCACATTCATCGCTACTCCGTCAGTGTTATGATGACTCTTGGCTCTGAAGTGCTAAATGCATTGTTTTGGTTGTCTCTGTGGATCTCTTTAATATTCCCTCTCGCAGCTTTTTGCCTGTTTGTTGCCCAGTGTAGAGGAGTCATTTCATGGATCCTCATAAACAACTGTTTCATTTAATGCACTGACATTTCTTTGATTGGCACTCCAGACACAGAGCCAGAGACTACAGGAATAGAAGGCAACACCCCCCCCCCCCCCCCCCCCCCCCCCCCCCCCCCCCCCTCTTTCTTTTAATTCCTACCATGTCCCTTTTCTTCTCTACTCTCTCTTTGAATCTATTTTCTCCCACAGTCTTACTTTCATGTTCTCATCTCGTGTCGCTCTTCTCCTCACTTCCTGCATACCTTTATGCCTTTGTTTTTCAGTCTGGTGTAGTTTAGCAGCCACATCAAAATGATAAAACACAAAGAAAAGAGATGAAAAATACAAATTGCACAGCAGAGATAAAAAAAGAGGAAACCTGAGGGGCTCTGAAAAACCTCTCAGAAGAAAAGAGCATAAAGTAGCTGGAAGAGAAACATCTGAGGTGGATAAGAGAAGCTAAATGATACATTTCTTTCTTTCTTCCTTCCTTCTTTTTCTCCCTTCTTCCTTGTTTTTTTCATTTGTCCATCTTTCTGTCCTTCCTTCATTCTTCAATTCCATCCTGCCTCCTTCCTATCCTTCTTTCATTCCTCCTTCCATCCTTGCTGTTTTTCCTTCCTATTGCTCTTTTTTCCTGCTTCTGCCTTCCTTCCTCATCCCTTCCTTCCTTCGCGATGTCTGAACTACAAAATAAACCCTGCATGTTCGTCCTGCAACATTTCCACCTGTCTCAATCTGAGTAGTTTTCATTTTCACATTTGAGCCTCTGTCTTTCTGTCAGAGAAGAACAAGGGTTTGATAAGTTGACTGATTAAAGTCTCGCTGTCTACAATGCTGCATCTTTGTCTCCACCTCCTTTCTTTCTCTGACAACTCTGCATTTTTTCCTGTTGCTTTCTACACGATCCGCTTTCATCTCCTCTGAATTACTGTATTTTTCAGTATGTCTCCACATTTTTATATCTGAATCCTCTTCTGGTGCAACCTTGCCTGTCTATTCTCTGCACGCACGCGCACACGCATACACACACACACACACACACACACAAACTCTCTGCTCTCCTACAACAGGGAGAATTGCATTTCTTCTTTATTGTCCAAAAATGTCTTCATGCCGTTTCCCTTACACACACTGGCCTTTATTGAAATGTCATGGTGGGAGAAAAGACTTGTGATTAAAAATGCAGTCCAGCATTTTGTCATTGTCAACTTGCAAATATTTGCTCCAGGAAATGGAAGATAACTACAATGTACAGGGTACACATGCTCATTATGTGCATTTCCTCCTCACTTCAGGACTATCCTTAGCCCTGGGAGAAATGTTTCCTTGACTGAGAGAGAGGATTTTTAACTTTTACTGATAACTCTGCGTGAGATGTGGGCGATAAATGAATCCGTCGCAGTGACTCTGCATTACATTTTCTGTTAAAGTTTTCTTGGATTATCATGTTTGCCACATCAACTTGAACATATTTGTCAATGTCAGTGGTCACAAGACAATAAACCTGCAAAATTGCACAAATGATTCAATTAGAAATCGCTACAGGCCGGATTTACTGTTGTCATGAGACACAACAGTTATACCCATTACCTAGATGTCTATTTTAAGTCTCTGTATCACACAACTTCTTTGTTACTGAGAACTGTTAGCAGGTCCAGAGAAAACACAGACACACATGCAATTCCACACTAGTAATGCAGCACACACGCACATTAACACACAGACTGGTGACAAATTAAATAAAAGCCCCAATAAATGACTAAAACATAATGAATGCAGATTCTTCCATATAAACATACATAAAAACACCAAATGAGGGGAAATAGTTTTGAAGTATGCTGTTGAATGCCTCTGGAAGAGATCCAAAGACTTGTAGGATCAAAGCATTGAAGCCGTTCTGGAGGCTTGTGGTGGCCAAACACCTTTCTAAACTTAATGTTGTTTCTCCATTAATTTGCCATCCATCTGTAGCCGAGAGGCTTGATACACACAGGCTGCTTGCAGCTGACAGCAGACCAGAACAAAAAGCATTCTAGTGAAAAAGTAAATTAAGAGAAGCTTTATATCAGGAAACAATTCTCAAAGGGCAAATCAACACTGAATCACTTAAGCTAGCAAGCGAGTAAGCTAGTCTCACCAAGGTCAAGAATGAACAGTGAATTACTCCAAGAGTCATATCAACCCAATGTCTCTTCTAAGAAACACAAAACCCAACAGAAACATTCAAATCTAGTCCAACTTTAGTGAACTTTGACCTGTGAATTTGCATTGTTAATCAATAGCAGGCCTTGAAAGTGTTGACCTTTGAGGGAATGAAGAGCCAAAGGGCTTAAAATGTATAGCTGTGTTGAACCTTTATCTTTTACTTAGCATAACCTGCTTGACAAATGGTTTGCTGCCAGCCCAGCTATGAGACAGGACTCTGAAAAAAAGAAAAAAAAAACTGTAATCCCGCTATCTCATTAGCAACCGAGCTAACAAGCTTGCTAACTGACAGTTAGCAAGCTTGTTAAGGTGAGGAGGAACTGCCAGGGGGAAGTAAGCAGCCCAATAGGCTACAGAGAAAAAAAGAAAATTGTGACCAGGCAGAATAAGTGACAGATTTTGCTGTGGATAGTTTTCTTTGAGAAATTTTCAAGCATAAAAGGATAAAAACTGTCCACACTGAGTTGCTACACTGCTCGTCATTTGAAACTTTCAGGCACATCAGTGGTATCATGGATCACAGCAGATGTTTAGCTTTTGACGGATGGTGTAAAACACTTGTTGGTAGCAGGTTTCAACAAATTGAGAGCGCTAGGTTTAGTCCTGGTTTAGTGTTGATTTACCCTTGAAAAAAATCAAATACAGAGCCTCACAATTTGAAATACGTGGCCACACATGGACAAGGATCATCATGACCGCTCTGTCACAGGCGTTGTTGTAGTGCAAGCAAACAGCGCAGTTAAACTGTTAGTGGTTTCGTTGATGTTTTTACCAGGAGATAAACACACGGGGTCGTCACAGTATGATGTATAGTCTTTGGATGGGATGGCAGGTGATGGACAGCATGAGGATGGAGAAGAGGTGAAGGAGTGCGAGTGGAGGGGGGGTGGGGGGTGGGGGGGTGGAGAAAGGAGGAGAGTTGGGAGAAGTGTTAAAGATGAGCGTGTTGGATGTGTGAAGCAGGACTATCCTTACACTGTAGGATAGTGCCAATGTATGTGGATGTGTAGCTGTGGGAGTGGTGGGAGTGATAAAGAACAGATATGAGCGGAACTGACAGAAAGGTCGTTATTACAGTAAATTAACTGAGCACTGAAATACACCAGCTCTGTGACAAAATCAAAGTGATTGATTTTCTTTTGTGTGGTTGGAAGATCGGTGGCAGTTTGACCTTTGTGTGTCAGATCTATTTAGATCACTACAATGCATGCTGCTTTACTGTTACACTTATAAGGTACTGCTTTATGTTTAATTTTATGGGTCAAAGAAGTTTTCTAGAGAAATAAAATTAGTTACAAAATTTTGGGAAACTAGAAATTTCTGTGCTTGGAAGGCAAGCCCAATTTAAACCCAAACAAATATTGATTATTTATCTATTATTTGAAATTTTACTGTCTATATACTGTATGTTAAATGCTTGTAGACTAATTTCACATTTTTCATGTTCAGCTGACCTGCTGACTAAACTACACTAAGCCACTGACTAAAACATTCACAAGATTAATTTAAGAATTAACTAATTGGGAGAGTAAATTTTGTGCCAAATAATATTGTTGTCTCTGAAGGATACCTGCATCATATCAAAGGATGCACAGCTGCCATAGAATTACTTGTAGCTGAGGTGAAACTGCAACCTACCGTCCTTTTACATACTGCTAAAGGAGCTATTTGTAAGTTTTGCTATTGCTACATATCCAACATTAGCATTAACAGCTGTTTACTTACCACTCTTGGCATGAGCCTCAGCCATTGTGTTTACAAGAGGTTTACTGTGGCTAGTTGGTTAGCATGCTAACTTGAGTACAAGAAAAGAAGAGATACAAATAGAAGCAAAACAAGAGGGTTGTTTTCCACTGCTGGAGACATCACTTGGTGAGTAAAGGAATGAAGTTTGATGCTGAACTTGTAACGTTTCTTCTAGACTGGTAAGTAAACAGCTGTGAATGCTAACGTTAGCTATGTAGCAGTAGCAAAACTACAAATAGCTCCTTAAAAGACCTGAATTTGTGATAATTACATACTTAACTTTTTTCAGGGCAAGATGAATTACAAAGATAACATGCACACTAATAATCTGATGCTTTTGTAATAGCTCAGTTAAAGCAATAGAGAAAATGATGAAACTGTCATTGAAATATACAGGAATAATTGCAACTCTTTAGTCTGGGTAATTAAAATAAATAATAACAGCAAATTCTTTTGTACAGCTACCTTATTTTTGAGTCTTCTGATTTCTGGGGAAATCAACCCAGGTTCTATGTTTACAGAAATAAAACAATAAGCTGCAGTAGCTACAGCATGGATGAATTTGAGAGTGCCGCTGTTGCTCTTTCTTTGTCATACCGTTACTTTGCAAACAGACGTTTCTCATTATCTCGAGATATAACTTAATGGGTTTGTAGAGCTTTGTAAGCCTGATCATGGTGCCAGTGAGCAGACAGTCTCAAGCAGAACTGAACATGTTTGAAGGAGAGATCTTGACTGCTGCATTTACTTTAATCAATCACTATCCCAGTTGCAATCTCAGGGAAATTCATTTTCTGTTATCTCATGACAATGAAGTAATTAAAGCGTGATCACAGAAAATGAAATTTGATCACTCAAGACAATTAAATCATGGGCTGGAGATAATAGGATTAAAAATATATGAGGAAATAAAGCCGCTCTCAGATTCTGTCGAGCCGCAACAGTCAATGTATGGAATTTTAAAGAACTTCATACGAGAGAAATTACTCAACTTAACTCCTTAACGTTTTAATCAAAATGAGGACTGATTAACCCCTGTGACTGTGTTATTAGTATGCATGTTAACACCAGGAAGTGCCCCTTCAATCCATTCTTTAAGTGCATGAGTCATTTAAGTGAAAATGAAGAGTAGTGGAAAGATCTCAGCATGTACGCAGCTGCATTACTACACTGGTACATAAACTGTCAAATGTTAGAGGCTAAGTGAATGTGTGAGTGTGAGAAAATGCCCTCCTAAAGACAGTCTGTCATTTTCAATACATTTGTCCGTCAAGTGACCGGAAACACACCATGTGTTGCTTTAAATACAACCAGTGTCTAAAGCAGCACAGATGTTGAGACCTCACAGTGTTATTAACACGTGCTGAAAAGAAAAATGAGATGGTGTCTGTCCCGTAATTTGACACATGGACGTTGCTGAAAATGACGACCTTCATAAGAGCACGTCCACTTTTGAAGTCTGCTTCAAAAATGTCTGAAAGGCTGTTGACAAATGCTCGGATGAAATATGGATGTGTGAATGAAATGTGAAAATGGGTAATGCATGAGTGGGAGGAAAATGTCATTATTGTAAAATATTACAAGTATATTATAATCACATTTTTATGGAATTATAACCATAGTGGAATGGCAAAAATGATAATAACAAAAATGAAAGTGCAAAAAAATAAATTAAATATTAATTGTTGTTACCTGCTAGAGTCTTATAATCAAGCAGATCAAACAGAACAATGGCTACGCCCGACCACGTGATGATCAGAGCCACAACCAGCAGCCAGGCCATCGGTGAAGTAAAGGTTAAGATGACATCATCCAAAAATGTCCTCTCATTGCCCCGAGCTGAAGGGACGGCCTCCCCGGCGTTGGTCTGACTGCTCATTGTTGAAGAGAGCTGAGGACAGGAGGAGGGAAGAGAGGGAGTAAAACAAGCAAGGGATTTACTAAAGGAAATACTTTCTAGTTTTCAACAAAATAAAATGCAGAACTAGATCAAGTTTTAACCATGACAGTTTTTGAAAAATAAAAGCATCAGTGAACTCTTAAAACTAATTTAAACAATCATTTAGTGAGCTTGCTTTTTTTTTGATCAGCATATCCCACACCTGCAGTTTATAATGCAGACTTCCTGTTCTATATTCAACGTCTTCAAGCCCAAGGTTATTTTTTCTTAGACTTTGCACAGCTCCTCCAGCAAGGCTGTCTCCTTGAAATTATGTTTATATCCTTCTAATCTGTAACAGCAAATATGTTTTGAAGGAAACATGATAATGCCCGAATACATTATGTTACTTTTTCATTAACAATGAATGGTAAATGGACTGCACATTTACGGCACTTTTCTGGTCTTATCGACCACTCAAAGCGTTTTTCAATGGAAGCCCTGCACCCATTCACACACAAATTCATACTGTGCTTTTTCATACTCATATAGCGCTTCTCTACCATACCCACACACTCACACACCAGTGGGAACCGGAGGAGCCGCGATCGAACCACCACCCTTCCCATTTTGTGACCCGCTCTACCTCCTGAGCCACAGCTGCCCCCAATAGGGAAACTTTGTTAATTTACATATCTTGCACGTCGCAAAATGTTGATACTGAATGTATCAGCAAAATGTTCACTGACGACATATTTCATTTTCCTATCCACGTTTGCAGTATAGTATCAACTCTCAGCAGCTAAAGCAGGATTAAACTTTTAATGGTTATGTTTAAACTCTCACAGCACTTAACATTAACATTAGGGAAAGATTGTGGTCTGGGTTTGATAATGAAAAATTCCACAGATAGTTGAAGAACCAGACACGATGTATTCACTGTATTAACATTTAATTAAAACTACAATCCTCCCCTAACCTTAACCAAAGTGCTTCTGGTGGCTAAACCCTTTCATATGCAGGACTCAGGACACAAACACTAGTCTCCAAGGTCAAAGTCTTTGTACACCCTGCCTCTACCGCAACCACCTCGCAATGGCCTGCGTGTGGTACAAAAATGTGGCACTCGCTTCACTCAAAAAAAAAACCAAAAAAAAAACCTTGCCAGTAAAAAAAAATCCAGACGGCAATAACGTTTCCCATCACAACATAATGGGGAAAATAAATTAGAGCTACAGTAGAAGATTAGACCTGTTTTCTCAGGGTGAGTAGTAATCCCCATGGTGACTAAACTGACCTTTATGTGTACAGTTTTTGCAATACCCCTTTAAAGTTCTTGGGAATATATGTGGGTGTGTAGCCATCATCTTTTGACAATATGCTCTTTTAACTTTAATGTCATCTTGTCCCTGTTGTCCATGAAATGACACAGATCCCACAGTGTGTATTTTTTGATGAAACAGTAGTTTTAATTTTTTTTAAGAATCGCTGACATCACTATTTAAAGTCAATATCTATAAAAAAAAAAATCTGTAGAAATTAAAGGGCCTTACTTAGTTTCTGGTTTAATAGCAGCAGGTTGTCTGGTACCATAAGGACACATTAAAATACAATCAGCATCAACACCAAGCTAGAGAAACAATTCACGCTAATTACAGAAACCTTGGGAGTATTGTGGCAGTGTAAGGTTCAGTTTGCCTTCAGGCCTTTGCATCCATTAATTCACCACTGAGCCCAATTTGTGTAATTTCAATCTGTTCATTATATGATAATAATATCTTTAGTACAACAGGTATGTCTTTTGCATTCATGTTACCAATGAATTTGATAGACGCACACGGCAGCTGTTTATTCACACGGATGTCAGTGAATCATTCAAGTATGTTCTCTAATTTTTTTCTTTGTGAGAGGATGAGAATGAAGGATGTGGAGAGAAGAGACGAGCACGAGGGGGAAAGAGTGAGAGAGAGCAAGGAGAGAGAAAGACAGACAGAGATTACCTGAGGTGACGAGGAGATTAAATTCCATCTCACTTTGACAAATGACTTCTCTAAAGAAAGTTTTCATCATTGTATGGCAGTGGGGCTTGTGTGCCGTAACATGATTACGTGGCCGCATTCGGTTGTTTGTGTTCATTACGTGGCGTGGTGTGATGGAATGCCTGAGATGATTTATTTTTCCTTCTGCTTCGCTGCCTGCCTCTCACGCATCTTATCTGCAAAAGTAAAGGGATATATTTACTCTGGTGTGGAGCTCTGAATTAAAACAGGAATGACTCATTTGGAAGAAATATGTCCTTCTTAAGACTATTAATGAGGTCCTGAGGGATGCAGATCCATGAGAGTCCTGTATGCTCTGTGCTGGTCCAGCTGAAGCACTTAACCCCATTCATTATGACAGGCTGGTTGACAGAATTAGGCGGTGGTTTGGACTCTAATGGTCCTCGTATCCATTGCCAATTAATGGAAACTCGGTGACATTGTTCCTCTGACTCCTCATTATATAATAAATCTCAAGGCACAATTCAGGCTACATTTTTTCCCTCACTACATACACTAATTCTTGTGAGTGAAACCCAGTCACTTGAGTAAATTGTCCATATTATAGCCTATTTTGGAGCCTGTGCACCCAAAAGAATGTTTACTGGACTGCAAACTATTAAGCAGCGAATGTAGTTACAAGTAGTGTAACTAGATTCAATAAGCAAGAGCACGTAGGCATGGCTGGATTTACCTGCTATATCACACTTTATCTATCTATCTATCTTTCTTTCTTTCTTCTGTGTAGGATATATGTCACCCAGGATGGTTGTATAATGTGAAGTATTGATGTGTTTTGATTCAGTAGCTGGTCTTAGACTGACCTTTCTGTTGCTGCATTCAGATAACAAACTACAAGATCAATTTAACATAATTCTGTCCACACACACTCGAGTGTGCATTTGTGCGTCTGACTCAAGAAAGCTAACCATTGATCTGGTGAACAACAACTGGTGCGTGTGTGTCAGTTCAGAGGCAGAGCCAAGAGTGTTTCTGTGCGCGTGTGATATAAAAGCCATTGATCTCCTGAAGCCTTGGCAGCGGCTGGTCAGGCCGGCATATTGATCCAGAGCAGGTAAAACAGTCACGATGTTACAATGACAGACGGCTGGAGCACAGCAGACAGAACGGGGGAAATGCTGCATTGTCCAGTCCAACCTCACATTCTTCGCCAAACCATGTAATTACAGTGTAATTCTCTTATGTTTTATCAAAGAGGGAGTCACTGTCTGCAAATATTTTTACCTTACGTGTCTGACTGTGCTCTTTTCCAAACCAGCTGACCCAGCCCACCTGTTGTTACCATCAAGTGCTGAGCTTAACACACACACACACACACAGACACACAGACACACAGACACACAGACACACAGACACACAGACACACAGACACACACACACACACACACACACACACACACACACACACACACACACACACACACACACACAACTGCTGCTGCCGCCTCCTCCTCCACACCAGAGGAATGAACAGAATTAGAACGATGTGGGTGAAGGCTACGAACCGGCATTTGAGGGCAAATGGAAGGTGACAAAGGCACGGTCAAGAGGGTGAACCATTAAATGCATCCCCATTTGTTAGGAGTACACCACCTTTCCGACAAATAGGTATGGTGCTGCTTATAAAGCAATCTTGTTGGATATCATTACCAGTGGTAGAAAGTTAAATCAAGTTCAATTCTGAGGTACTTACATTTCTTCATTTGTTTTAATGCACTACATTTCAGTGGGAAATTGCAGTTTCTAATAACAGTTTATACCAGTAGTTTCCAACCTTTATGGTTTGTGACCCCTTACAAAAACAGTCTAGTTCTAAACTTCTTTGGTTTTATCTAAATAACTGTTTTGAGGCCCTACCAGATTAAACGATCTGACATATTTAACAAAAACCAAAGATGAGAGAAAGCCAAGACAAACAAGTACAAATTTGTGTAGCAGTATTTTGTTTTTTTCTTCCGTCTTCTCCAATTAATCATCTTATGACCCTTCAGCGTAAACATAACCCATTCTCTTGTAACAGAATAAGCTGATCAAAGAAATCATTTGTCAGAATTCAGTATGTTCTCATATGTGTAAAGTGCAGTTTATGTGTACATAACCAAATCAGTCTTTCAGTCAACTATTCCTCTTGGTTACATTTAAGCAATTACCAGATGACAGTCAGACAAAAAAGGGGAAAAAGATATTAAAAAAAAAAAAGATGGTTGATCGTCTCGACATCAGAGCGAATATTTTCAAATGCAGCTGTTCCCAACCTGGGGGTTGGGACGGCCTAAGAATCCCAAAGACACATCAGAGAGATAACAAGATGATATAAGGTAAAAGACAGAAAAATACGTCTTTTTTTCTTCTGAAATACTGGATACTTTCAACTCTTCAGGCTTCCAAAAATCATGGGGGACATAAAGATATTTATTTAATTTTAAGGGCTCACAAGCCAAAAAGGAATCACTAGTTTAACAGATTCACAGAAGATTGAAGAGTAAAAGTCCAGGCCAGGGCCAAGGAGTTAAAATTATGCTTTTTCAATCAATTTAAACTGATAATTCAATTATTCATTCATTAACCTGAACTGATTTTCAGTAAAATTTTGAGATAACAGTTGTCATGTATTTGATGTAACAAAAAAAGTGCAGCATTATACTACCATAATGGAAGTGGAAACAAAGCAACAGAGCACGGCATTGCATTTATTCAGGAAGGTAAAAAATTTGATTTTTAAAGTTTATTTCTCTCACTTTTACACTTCAAAGCAACAGTGAGGAAATTATGAATTATTAACAGGAGCCAAGAGCCTATACTGTAGCTTACATGTAGTATAAGATCATAGTGCAAATAGTCTGGTTTATGGCTTATTTGACCAGAACATTAATATTCCTACAGTCCTCCTGTACATATAGACCTATAAAGGTATTTCAGATGACAGTGAGAGAACTGCGTGGACTGTGCATTGGCCTCCTGCATTCAGTAACACCAGCAGATCATTATTATAAAGTTCAGCCAGAGTGAAATGGATTTCTAGCGTACCTTGGACTTGCTGGATGTTCAGTGATAACCTTCAGTCCTTAAAAGGCTCAGAGAAATGCAGTGTTACCATAGAAACAAGCATGTAACTCCTTCGTTAAATCCTCTTTGGCCCCAGTTGAACGTGAGAAAAGATAATGGAGGTAACACTCAAATCCGTCAGCAAAAAAACAGATCACACCAGAGACTAAAAATACACTAAAACTTCCCCACAGGAGAAAAATGGACGGAAATCCAGTGAACAATCTTTCACTTTATATTGTTCTTGGTATTTTTCAAAGTTGTTCTTGGAGGTTTCAAATTTGTGTCCAAGGAATTCTTGAGCCAAAGCTTCTGAGATTCTGTTCCTAGCTGGTGAAGTTGCTGGAGAGAGTGAGACAGAAAGAGAGAGACGGATAGAGAGAAGAAGGGCGAAGGGGTTGACCCACTGAGAGTCACCCTGCCCCCTCTGAGGGTCCAAAATAGAGAGATAAAGAAATGGAGGGAGGGAGGGAGAGAGGGAGGCAGAGATTTCAAAAGCAGAGAGTGAGTGAAGGCAGAACGGAGAGGACAAAAGATCAAAGGATGGAGAGGAAAGGGGGAAAGAATAAAGTGAGGAGATAAAGGTCTAAAAGTCTCCTGTGCTATGTGGCGCAGAAACACAGAGCTTATTAATCAGGTTATAATAATGTAGGCAGAGCCAGCTAACAGCTGTTGCACCAGTGTTTCCTCCTCTGAGAGGCTCATAACTCCATTCCTACTGACCTGTTCAAAAATATCAATCCCCTTACACCTGTAATGTGATTTTTCATTCATTTCACCATGTTCTAATATGGTTTGATAATATTAAATGACTGATGGGTCCCCCAGTGACTACTAGTAGTTTTTATCAAGACTTAGTCTAGAGACCAAAACTTATTCACTGTGTGCCCTTGACAACGACTTCGACAATAAAGTACTTGGAACTTTAAACCTCCAAGTCTTCTAACTCTTCCTGCACTTCCTCCCAAGGAAACATATTTTCTCCTAAGTGCCCCACCTTGTCAAACAGAGGTCAAAGTGAGGAGTAAATAAGCGAATAAATATCTCGTTCAGCCCCATGTGAGTTTTTAAGCCCCGTCAGAACCTGTTTTTGAGGCCCAGTTTAAAGGAGGGTGTGTGTGTGTCTATGCGAGAGCAGTGGGAAAGAGTAACCTGACCCCCAGTCTTGCCCTGGGAGCCTGCACTGCAGAGGCTATAATTAGAGATACAGACAGCAGCTGGTGTTAACATTGGACTGGACTGCTTTATATGTAGGGCGTACAGAGGGGGCTGAGGGCTGGGGAACGAACACACACACACAAATGCACGCACACGCAAAATTCAGATCCTATTCTCTGAGAGACCATGCACAGTATGTAGGAGACATTTAAGGACTCCACAAAAATTACTTTATGTTTATTTAACTTTTTAAAATATTATGATCTTAAATGTATGTCAGTGTATGACTGCCACCATAAAAGTTTATCATTATACTGGGAAATTTCCTTGTTTTAACAAAATCCTTTTCACATTTTAACAAGCAGTTTTTATGACATATTTTGCCATTATTACTTAATTCTTGTGAGAAACATCTTGTTATAACATTATATCATTTTATCTTGTTATATCAGGAAACTTTCTCTGTATTCAATGGTGGAATATCTAATATTTTTACTCAAGTACTGTCCTTAAGTACAATTTTCAGGTGCTGGTACTTTACTTGAGTATTTCCATTTTATGTTAAAATTGCATTTTTAACTCCACTACTTTCTAACCTCCCTGACCCCCTGATAATTTCCACACAGTCCCTTGTCAGTTTTCTGTTTACATATCCTATGATGCAAATAAGCAAACAATGCATTTATACTTGCAACCCTATCTGCCACTGAAAGATTAGTTCCAGTTATACACAGTTCAGAAACAATATATATCAGCCCTGTAGAGACACAAACTAACAAAGAAAGAACAGGCGCACAATTCCCAGTCCCTCTAATGTTCTCAGCCACCTAATAAATGTTTACAGTTGGCCTAGCTCGTTTTGATTTTTTTTAAGTTATCTGTCATTTCATTTATTTTTTGTCAGAGAGATGCTCTACTGCATGCACACACAAATGCACACACCCATGAGAGATGCTGTGATGAAACAAACCATCCAAAGTAAATCTGATGAAACTAACAGCAATCAACAAGAACAACGCTCATGTCTGCCCTACAGTACTCTGTGTTATTGGGCATTTGCCTGTTTGTGTTGGATACATTAATATATCCTGAATAATTCTTCCTTCCATCTGTAACTCAAGATAGCGAGGAGATAAAACACAGGGACATCCTGGTAGCTGTGCGATTTTGAAAGGTTTTATGAGACTTTTCTTCTGAGCGTTGCACTCAGAAGTGAAGGATATGTTTTGGCACTTTGAAATTCTCAGGGACAAAGCCTCCAGAACTTCACAGGTTCTCAGGATCTGGCTGAGGTTCAGAACCACAGACAGCGACAGAGGCATCCGGTGCTGCTGGCGCCAGTTCAGCACCTTCGGACAGCGAATAAGAACAACCTCACACCTGTGGCTGCTGGGAGACACAGCTGGAGCTGATCATGACCAGAAAGTCATTTCAACACCCTGAGGGTGAACTGTCGCACATCCAGCACCACTTCACTTCTCACAGAGACTCAAACATCTGAGGCTCTGCATAGTCTTATGCAACTTCCTACTCACTTTTGCCTCTACACTACTGCCTTTCAGCATAATTAAGCTTGAGGGTTTTAGTGTTACTCCATAAACAAGGTAATGTATACACCTACCACCACTGGCACGACTTAAATCCATTCCTTTAAGACTCCATTTACTGTGTGAGTCCACTGAAAGCCCTTTTGTTCCTAGAAGTCAGAGAATCGATTTTAAAATATTTTAACTTGTCTCCAAATCACTCACAAGGCCAAGACCAAATTATTTTTCTGACACGTTTTGTTTACGTATGACTCCTCTAGAACTTTACTGTAATTTATTCTGACTTGAGTCTGCTGCCTCTTCAGGGTCAACACCAAACACAGAGAAACTGCATTTATGCTACACATACTTGGATCTCTTTGGTGATCTTAGTCACTGTCTAACTGTAACCATCATTAAATCTAAACTACTCGCTCACTGCTGCCTATAACTGAACTTTTGTCTCTGCATCTATCTCGTTATCTTTTAATTGTGTCTCTTTTTTGTCTTATCCTGTCTCACTTATTTTATGCAATTTGTAAAACACTTTCAACTGCCACTGTTTATGAAATGTGCTACATAGAAAATAAAAAAACCTTGTTTTTCCTTGTTAAAACCAACAATGTGTTAATCCATCTTATAATAGTTTTTCAACATCCCTACGCTATCTGTAGCACTCAGCCCGAGTCCATTCATTCCAACTGAAGACATAAATTATTTAAAATGTGGCACAAATAGGCCTATATGGTTTCATTTTTTAAAAAGGCAAAAATAATTTTTATCATTATTATTATTTTTAAAATACTTATTACAGTATAACATTTAGTAAATGTTACCGAAACGCAAGTAAATAGTGTATTTTGTTCCAGATTATTTCCAGCTGCAAGTTAATACACATTTTGGTGTCAGAGTGAGTATTTACAGCAGCAGGACGGTGTATGTGGGACTGACTCGGAGTAAGTGACAATGGCAATGTTCATTGTAATTAATTGTAAGAAATACATCGCCCAATGCAACAGTGTGGCTCAGTGATGTTTTTCATAGTTTTTGGACAACAACAGGGTGCTATGAGAGGAATAAGATATATAGGCTACAAAGGCAATGCTTGTTCGTAGACTCGAATCATTGGTGGTTTTGATCTTTTCAAGGAATTTACTGACAAGAAGAATATTAAATATCAACTGATATTTCTCAAACAAGGTTACATACTTATTACCTATTCAGAATTTATTATTTATGCAAATTGCTCAGTATAGTTTACCTTCCCTATTTGGGGCTTACACATTTTTTCATGGTAGATGTTTTTGGCTTGTCTTCTTTTGTCTTTCAGTGGTTGTTGTGTCGATTTGCACGTCTTTGTAGTTGTTTGTTAATATTTCATGTCAATCACTTAAAAAAAAAAGGCTCTGGCCAATGGGGTCCCCTGACCTCTTGGGCCCCTGAGCCTGTGATCCTTAGGTCTGTTCGTAATTCTTCCATGACCATACTTAACTCACATTTGTCTGAATCTCCTATTATTTTTGTTGTTCTTAAAATTACACATTTATCATTATTATTAGTTGGAGAAGTTCATCAATCTTGCATACTTCCAGCGAAGCTCTACCCAACTTCAATTCTAATTAACTGGAATAAAACAAACTGGAATAAATAACACCTGAGTGGGTTTGCTAGTATTCTTAGTTACCTGTGCTTTTCATGCTGTGACGAGGCGAAATGCAAGAAGACAGAAGAGGCAATAAGCATGAAAGTATAACAATAACATGAGAATAAGAGAATGAATTAGGTACATCATTAATTATCTGGTGAGACTATGTAATTATGTATGTCATTTCCTACAGGTACGCAATGAAGTGTCGCGCACGGTAATGAGATCTATATTTGCCTTCGCTTGTCTAATTAAGATGAATAAAATAGATTAGAATGCTACAAAAGACTAAAACCATAATTTCTGCGTGACTTTAAATGATTTTGTCTCCACAGGCTGGCTCATGCACTGCATGTTCTCTTAGTAATGCTGCCACGGGGCTACAGCTACCTGTTTTCCCCTCGCAGACAGCTGCAGGCCTTTAACCAGCACAGAACAGCGAGGAAACCAAGTCAGTGATTAAAGCAGGAGTGAAGACCACAAGTCACACATCAACCACACACCTCAGCCTCTCCGAAACACTCTCTGCTTCTCCATTACTGTTCGACTCCTTCACCTACAGTACGTTGTCTTTTTCTGTTCCTGCGCCTTTCCTCTTCTTTCTCCACACCTCTCTCTACTACTCTAATTTTATGTCCTCCTTTCACCCCCACCTCTCGGTCCTCTCTCTTCCTCTTTCTTTCCCTCAGTCACCTTTTCTTCTCCTCCTTTATTTTGATCCAGCCTGTTCTAGTTACACTACTTCCCTCTGCTCTGCTCCTGAAGTTTCTTCCTTCCTTTCCATCTTTTTTTTCCTCTTTTCACCCCCTGCACTTGCTCGTATCTCAATCTACGCCTCACTGTGTCCCTCGCCATCTTTGTATCTCTACCTCCTCACACACACACTTCTTATTATTAAATTAGTAATAATGTCACCATGCTCCCTCCCAGGAGACCAGTGTTATTGACTTCATTATGCAAATGTAAACCAGCCCAAAGCTATACCACTGATGGGATAAGACACACACGCGCACACACACAGTTTGTAGGCTGAGTGTGCCGGC